TGTATGTGGGGCCCGGATGACGGGTGGGAACATGGGAAGTGGCCAAGCCAGACGGGCAAGACCGTTCCAGGCTGAGGGCACAGCTTTGCCCTGGGAGCCATGACCCTCCCTGGCTGCAGCACAGAGCAGGGGGCCAGAGCTGAGGGCCCAAAGGGGCCAGCGTGGGCGGGGGAGGGCCGTGTGGCACAGGTGACTTTCTCACCTCCCAGGCCTCCTCTCGCACGTGGGAGATGGGAAGGACAGTGCCTTCCTCCAATGGTTTGTCACAGGTGGCATTTATATCTCAGCTTTGCCACTGGGCCCCTGGCAAACAGCACAGTAACGATGGTGATGGCCCGCCTGTCCTGTCAGTGTCTTCCCCGGAAGGAGCAGGAGGCCCGAGGTGTGGGGCTTGTCCCCAGGGGCCCCAAAGTCAGCCGGGTGGCAGCTGAGTGGGTAGGGGCAGGCAGGAGATTCCAGCGGCCTGCCCTGCAAGAGTCAGTAGTGCACATCTGCTGGGCTGGAGCTACTGACAAGCCCGCTGCCCTCCAGGCTGCTGTGCCCAGGTAGACCTCTGCCTGCTAGGCTGGGGGCACCCGCACCTGGGCACAGACCTCTGCAGGGAGGTGACCCTGATCGGGATAAGGAGCCTGCCCAGCAAAGGGCAGGAGGAAATGCAGGAAGTTGGGAAGGTGTGCAGGGGAAAAGATGGGTAAAGGCAAAGAAGGAGTGAGCCGGGTGCAGTGGCAGGCAGGGGACTGGCTGGGCCCTCGGGGACCATGTTAAGCTGTCACCCAGGTATGGCCAGAGCCTTACAGAAGCCGACTGGCCGGGCTGCAGAAGAGGAGACTGGACGTTCTTCTACAATAGCCGTGGGGCCTTTTCAGTGGACCGGTGGCATCCCAGCTCTGCCCCTTCCTCGCTGTGTGACCTTGTGCTTCGGTTTTCTCATCTGTCCGACAGGGACAGTAACTGCCTTGTACCTCAGAGGTTTTGCAGGAGTCTGGGTTAAATGGTACCATGTTTATGTCATAAACCCTCAGCTACTGTTTGCAGATGCTGTTCTCAGCCTCAGACCATTTGCCCAGCACTCGGTAGGCGCTCAGTGTACCCAAGTGTGCCAAGGGTCCTGGTGTGCGTGGTGCTTCTGGCACCGTCCCTGTCCAGCCAGTGGGAGGCCAAGCTGGGCCTCAAATGCTTCTTCCCGGCCTCAGGCCAAAGCCCAGAGGCAACGGCAACTTTCTTCACTGGGAAAATGTAGGGCTCAGACCTGCGGGGCTTTTCAGAGTCAACTGTCAGAGGCGAGGGAGTTTCTCCGTGGTGGCAGGGCTCTCAGCGTGCACACTGCCTGTGTGCAGCGGGACGCTGCGGTCTGCAGGGAAAATGCCGACTGTGTTTACTTTTCACCTGAGCCTGCAGGAAGTGGGGCGATGGGAGGGCAGCCCAGCCGGGCCCCGGCATGACTTCTGAGCAGAGGAGACCTCCCTCCGGAGTCCCTCATCATACTGGCCCCTTCCTGAAAAGCAGGAAGGCACTGGGGCACCAGAGGGAGGAACTGACAGCCATCGGCTAGCGAAACCACTGGGCAGAGGCGCACTTTGGGCATGCACTGGAGTTGGTGCAGGATGAGCTGGGCGCAGGAGCAGGAGGACCCCCCCCCCCA